AATGTATGTATACTATAGGCATCAGGCATGCATGCACATTGATGGTTTCGTATGGATCTTTTATAACATAATTTTACCCAAATTTGTTATCAAAGACAAAGTATTATAAAGGGCCTGTTCATATGGGAAGAAGTTATCCCGGACTTCCCGGTTAGCGAGAAAACATTTGGACAAGTTCACAGGCGAAATCTCGCCTTGTTATGCGGAAAATAATATAAAAAGTTACACTGCGTTCATATGAAACGAAAAGTTTCGCCGTGTACCGATACCTCGCTTGTTGACAGGCGAGATCTCGGTGACCGGGATAATGTTTTTCCCATATGAACACAACATAGCCACAACTTTCCCGCTTACTGCGGGAAAACTTTCTTACAAAGTCCTTGCGCGTCACACCAGTGCTAGGTCACAAGCCGAAAACTTTACCCGGTAAGCGGGATAACGTTTCTCCATATGAACAGAATAAGGATGTATCCTATATATGGCATAATTAATATAGCCTGCGTGGCAGGCTCAATGGGTAAATGAAAGCCTGCAACAATCTCAAGGAAATTTGATAACCGCCCACTAATTACTATGATAATTTATTTCCAATCCAACCAATCACATTTTCTGAAATTCGTGTGCGTGATGCAGTGTGAGTAATAACTATAATTAGTATAATTACATAGGTGATTATTGAAATTCTCCACGCTGATTGGTTGCCGTTGAGGTGATTATTACGCGATAGTCACCTAAGCGATTTTCAAAATGGCGGCCGAAGCCGTTTTGTCAATTAAATGACGAAGAAATGTGTTGTTTTTTTCCAAATATCACCTATGAAATTATACTAAAACAATTATTCACCTCAGGCTCGGTGATTATCGTGAATAAAAACCTCGACTTCGTCTCGGTTTTTATTCACCGATAATCACCTCGCCTTCGGCGAATAATTGTTAAATATACTTTAATTTACTACTATTGTAGTTCATATAGACTATAAAGTGGCTCGAGAATTCAAACTTTAAAAAAATTGGCAGTTTAAATTACTTTTGGAGTAAATAAAACAGAATTTACACCGGCGATGTCGGTTAACGTTTGGTACATTAGTATGTGATACAATTCACTAGAACAAAACGTTTTGACTTGATACTGCAGTTTAGATGTCGTTACTCAACAGTATATTTTTACGTATTAATAATGAACGGAACTCAAAAATATATTTGTATTAAAAGGAAGACAATACCATCTTAGGTCCAAACATTACAATAAATTTCAAAATCATACATATTTTATGACCACCTATGAGCAAATATATGTTTCAAAATTGAAACGGCTCACGGCTGAACAGTTAACGTTTATAAATTATCAGGTATCAGGCATCAGTGATGGGATCAAAACAAAAACGCTCCGTGAAAGAGTTAAATAATTCTTTAACTAGTACTCCAATTAAACCAAAAAGTAAACAACAGAAGATGGAAAACCTAAGCGAAAGTGAAATTGTGAAAATAATCGGTGAAATGAGTGAAAAATTGAATAAACTCGATAAGCTTGACCTAATCGAGACACTACTCAACAGCATTGACACGGACATCAAGGATCTAAAACACTCGCTGACTTAACAGGAGGTGGTGGCCGAAGTACAATCTGTACAATCTGTACAAGCAGTACAAGACAGTAAATTAAAAGTAATAGAGGAAAAGGTCGGAAGGATCGAAGAAGAGAAGGCAAAATTGGCAAGGGAAATTATTGATATGAGAGCGCATTCCATGAGAAGTAATCTGATATTTTACAATATTAGAGAAGAAAATTGGACAATTTATGTTTGAATTTTATAATAATTCCTTGCCTTAATATTTTAAGAATTTCTTTACTCTTCACAAAAACGTACGCAATTACAGAACGAGAAACTCACATTATATACATAAGGAAAGATACCGAACTATTTATGGAAAATTCACGATTAAGATTAAAGGAAGTAGTTTATGGAACAAAATTCCATCTGATATAAAAGAAGCGAGAACAAAAATTAAGTTTAAAAAGATATGAAAGATTATCTATTGTCATAGATAAACATGCAATGTGTATACATGATTGCATATACATTCATACATATCTAATATATGTGAAGTATTTATGTAAATATATATATAGTGCTAGTTAAATCATTAAATCAAAATTACTATATGAATATAATCTTATCAATGATACCAAATCAACTGTATTTTAGCTAATTTTATTGTAGGAGGACTGACTTGTAAAAGTTCATGCACAAGGGTTTATCTGGTCCTTCCAGTACGTATCAATTAATTTAATTTAAATCTGTTATGAGAAATGAATAAAGTATACCGGCTGATTTCGAGCAAAAAAAAAAATTGACAATAACAAACTCTCAACTATAAAAATATGTCACAATGCAAGCTAAATTGCACTGTAGTTTGTAGTCTGCTGTAAAACTCATAATAACCGATAAATGCAACGTTTGTAGATCGAGTAGTAAGTTTCATAAATACATAAAGCGACATGTATTTAATAGGATACATAATTTGTCAAAATCCGAGTATTTTCAAATTGATCGGGTATAGCTACTGTATTATTTAGAGAAATACCAACACGTACATGGGTTTGTATCCATGCTCTTCGACTTGTCAAGGCAGATATGCATATCCAATGAGAAAACCTGCCAAAACATCTCAACGATTTCCAGCTGTTCAGTTTTTAGTTTAAAACCCAAATTCACAGCACATGGCCAGAAATGACGGACATTGTGCAAGCGTACCAGTCGGTCAGCGGCTTTTCCGTTTATCCACGAGAATTCCTAATTATCCTTTTACGACCCAGTGGCGTGCTGGGTACTATTTTTCTGGAGGGGCCAGTGGGCTGTCAACCAATATGCGCCCCCTATAATGTTACACTTGATAAACGAGGGCCGAAGGCACGAGTTGAGTGCCGCAGGTGCGAGGTTTGTCTAGGGGGGGGGGGGTCCGGAGGCATGCCCCCCAGGAAAATTTTTAAATTTAGAGTCTCTGAAATGCCATTTCCTGGACTTTGGGGGAAGATTTGACAGAAATCTGATGGTCAGGAAACCGGCATTATAACGTGTCGAAATTTGCAATTTGGTTAGAACTTAGTAGTAGTACTTAAATTAGGCAATGCTAACTACTTCCAGCGATTAATTTAATCCCAATTCTGTTCTCTACTGATCTACTGTTATGAGCACATTTGCAACTTAAAGCACTTTTATACAATAACACACGCACCCCACGCATATGTATTTTAAGGTTTCCTTGCCTGGTGCCAAAAGGGCATGTTTCAGCATTATTTCATTACTTACATTACTGATGCTTCTTGTGCAAACAACTAAATTGCGTACACAACTTTACATCAGTTATCATAACTTCAACTATCTAATTTGCGCCGCTCTCGTGATTCGTGAAGCGTAATAAAGGGCATATTATAAGGGCATAATACCAGCCAAAAAGGGCATAATTCCCGTGATCGCTTCGATCGAAACCTGACCAATATTCCGGTAATGAGACATTGCCTGTGATCACTGATCATATTTCTATATGAACGATTTCGTGTGAGCTGTAAGGTAGCAAATACGGTTAGGCAAAATAGTCTGTAATTTAATATATGTCGCCAATGCGCTCAGTCTGTTTTATACTGTAGCCTATAAGCACGTCTTTTCTTGGCGGAAGTAACCATATTTTTTCGAGAATGTGTTTTTTCCCACCCACTTTCAAAATTCGGCGCCCCATTTTCATTTTTGCGCCCCCCAAGAATTGCCAGCTGGGGGGGCCGTAGCCCCCCGGCCCCCCCTGCCAGCACGCCACTGTTACGACCTATCAAAGCATCCGGAATTTCAAATATTCGCGTGAATGTTGTTTATAAAGCAAAGCATGAAGTATGCACTCAAGTTGTGGCCTTTAGTTTACCAGGCTCAGGGTGTAGCTAAGCAATGACTACGGGAACGAAAAGAGAAGCTTTCGATGAGTATTTTGGTACCAAACATGTAGCAAGGCAATCAATATTTCGAGTTTGGCAAGCGAATGGAATATCACTTCGACCGCGAAGTAATATTATAATATGCATATTAACGCACCGGCTTGCGAATTTCAAAACAAAAAAGCAGAGCTTTTATCGGGTGTGACAAAATAGTAAATGGCGGAAGATAAGGCTATACTATTCGTCAAAATAAAATGATTTCAACAAATTTCGATAATTGAATATATTACGAGATATAGCCTTTTGAGCGAGAAACCTTTATAGATTCCTATGTAGCTAAAGTGACGTAAAATGTTGTAATATTCAATCGCAAAAAGCAGAGCGAATATGCAAAGAAATGAGAACATTTTTTCTTAATGTGTTACTATACAACCGCTACTTCTGGAATCAATTTCAACAAATATTCAAAGATTTATATATAGCATGCTATATAGCCTATATTGAAAATACTCTGCTTGCCTTATAATAAACATAGGGCATTGCGCAGCCATTGTTGCGTGGGTGCTCGTGGTAACGTGACTGAGAAATGAAAATGTCCGTGATTTCTGGCCATGTCTTTCAAAAATATACGCTAATATACGCTTTTATTGATAGCGTATAAACATTGCGCCACAGTGATTGATGCGTATTTTGGCAACATTATGATTTCAACCAATAGGATTTTTGAGTCCGCACACGGCCCCGAAATACCAAATTTCCTTGAGATTGTTGCAGGCCTATATTCAATAGGCCCGCCACGCAGGCTATAATTAATACTATGCCTCGATCGTCTATCACTCTGTCCGTATCCGCCTTTTACCATAGCCAACGAGATACTTTGTTTGAGTCATATTGTAAGAAAAATTAATTTTAAATCTTTATAATAAACCAAAAAAATGTGTTTTCCTTGAATTGAATCTAGATTAAAACTTTAGACTGAGAAAATAACAAGTGTGACGTGTAAATATTACGCAAAAATTAATCCAGTATGGATTAGTAAACCGGCAGGGGGCCTATTGTATTTCTTTTGCATTGCAAAATCTTATTGCTTGCAACGTTTGAGCTGTGCTCCCGACAACTTATCAATTTTAGCGAGGAAGATAGTAACAAAGAGGTAAGTTCTTGGTAAAATTGAACATACTGTATAATAGTGTACCTTTGTACGTTTTGACATTTTAATTGAACATTTACTAAAGAAAAATTTTGCAGAATAGTAAATATATAACATGACGTCTGATTCGCGCTCTGAAACAGACAGATCAACGAGCTATTTTGCAGATAAAAAAGGCTTCCCGGCTTCCTTTAATTCAACAAAGTTTGGAAAACACAAATGTCATTGGATAGATTGTTAAATATAAAAATGCTGTGCAATATACTTGACGTTGCATGTACAAACGCTTCGCAAAGCTAAATGTTTGCTCCGTGAAATCCTATACTAGTGACTGGTATTCATTGTCACGATTTCGGTATTTCTACGTTTGTGCCACAACATGGAAAGGTTTTAAAGGTATTGTTGGAAAGGTTTTAAAGTACCGTACAATATTGGACTTTCAACGTAACTGCGCGATTGCAGATGCCATTATGTAAACATGCACGCAATACAATATGTATTCGTTGCCATAAAAAATATACAGTATACTCATACTTGTGACAAGCGAATACATATTGTATTGCGTGCATGTTTACATAATGAAAGACACCACAACTCTACAAGACATCCATGTTAGGGCAAAATGTTTGCACGAAATCTGCAATCGCGCAGTGACGTTCAAAGTCTAATATTGCACGATTGTCTAAGAGCAAAATTTGCTCATGTAAGAGGGCTTACGTAGCGCAATTAATTACAGAATACACACACTGCAACCAGATTAGAATGAACAAAAATTCAAACAATTTCAGATTATTTTAAGGATTGTCGCATAAAAACCATTTTAACTTAGCATCGTTGGACGCTCATGAACACCATTTATCTCCCAATAATTGCGCAGCGGATTTGGATTGCAGATTCGGCCAAACACTTCCTCAACAAAGAACCCTTTTTACTTTAATATACGACGTATTTGAGGTCTCATATATTATTGGTGGACTTTGCCTTGCGCCTTCGTATTTATTTTGTTTGGCATTGGAACTGCGCAACGTTTTGAATTACGTGCTCAAATGCATATATTGCTATTAACTCAATCGTTGGAAATGGCATGAAATATATTTTGCGTATCGTACTAGCGTATGCCATGCAGCGTATGAAAAATATCACTCGTTAGTCGTACGCTGGAAAACGCTGACATACGCTATAGAGGTCGGTCGCATACGGTACACGGCATACTTAATTAAGCATGCATGTTTAAAAATTTTGTGCGTATTCGCGGACGCATGGTTTATACAATAAGCATATCCTAGACACACGCTGAATACGCTAGAGGTACGCCAGATGTACTGCACTCATACGCTGGTATTTCAAAGGATTTTTGTGCCTATGAAAATTATCTCATACGTTTCTCTCATACGCAATAGACTAGTGTGACTAGTGTGTCAGTTCTTTGAAAGTCAATTAATTTAAGGACTGTCGCAATTGTGTGACTTTGAATGCTTCAGTGCAACTAATGGAGATCTGGGCTTACTGATCGTACTATGCTTTGCAAAACAGCAAAAGTGAATATACGCGATGTTCTCGAAAAACCAAAACATGTATAGCATGGAATATGAACACTATATGCTCGAATTTTGAAGTAATCATGCGTCAGTGCATGTAGCCTGCTCCCAACTC